GGCTCGAGCCAACCAGGCCAAGAAGAACTTCTTCAGGTTTCCTTTCTTCCCTGCGGAATGAAGCGGTGGATACCGCATTCACAACCCGAGCCCGAAGGTGAGTTACACCTGAGACTGGAGTTGAAAATCTAACTTCCCTGCTCGCGGCCGAAAAGAGGATGCCTTCGTAGTTTCAGCATGCTGTCAAACTCATGCGGTATCAATAACACGGTCCGAGCATTGTGGTTGAAGTGGCTGCCAGAGGGCTTGAACAAAATGATGAGTGTGTTCTGCAGGCAATGTATTTACTCGCGTTGTTTTATGTCACATCTTCCACCTGTCACTGCTAGGGTGCGCGTATTCACACTGCACGCACCCTTATTTCATGCTTGTTATAGCGTCATGTTAAGTTTACCCCTTGCATTGCATTGCAATTGCCATGCAGATAGAGTGGAATTGACCTGGGACATAAAAGCATTACAACCACGAGTGTGCCATGACACCCGCGGCCTGCAGGCCAGTACTTTTCGATGGGCTCTTGGATGCCGTGAGACCAATACTGTGACCATTTTCTGGCTCCGGGTCAAAAAAACACAGTCAAGCCAAATCCTCTTCAATATTCGACCAAGTCGCAAAAGTAGAAAACTAGGACATAAGCCGTGCCTCCGATAAGCATGTTGAGAATTCGCTGCTGGCGTGTAGCTTCTGAGTCTTCCTCTCGCGTTGGACCGAAAATCAATATGCTGCGAGGGAAACTTTGCAAAAGATGAACGACAAAACACGTCGATGGATCCTCCTTCTTTTTCAGCTTTGTGCCGGCCAGTGGGTCCTGCTCCAGACATCCCCCCGACGGCGCCAGAAGGCAAGCTACCGACATCCGCTGGAGAAACGCGAAGCTGAAGGTGTGTCTAGAGTCTAGCCTGGGGCAGGCGTGAGGGTTGCGCGCATAGGAGCCTAGGTTGCATGCAGAAAGATGGTCCGCCTTCTTTTTCCTTGCAGCTCCTCGTCGGATAGCCGCCTGGCACACGTTGATAGACTGCACCCGACACTTCGTGATGCGAACAGCCCAGCATTAGGTCGTTAAATCTCCACACTTGCAAACCATCCGTGAAGCGCAGAGCCCTCGCAGAAACCAGGCCTCTGTAGCACGTCGCAAACGATCGCGCGCCTTCACCGGCTTTGCGAATGCAAACTGAAGGGGCGCTGACTAAGCCTTGTATGTACCCTGTGCTCAGGAGGCGGGATCAAGAGCAGGTGACTCGGAACGTGCAGCAAGTCTACACGGAGCTCCTCTTTGGCGATTTCAGCGTCCGACTTGTTTCGAGCGATTAAACCTTCAGTCAAGAGGCTAGCGAGGCCAAGGTTGTACGACTCCGAGGTACCACCGCTGCTGTACTGCAGCTCACCGAAGCTGCAAGGGGATAACTGTCTAGCTTCAATGCTTGGGTCCGGACCTCGATACTTTCCTCCCGGCCTGCTGCAAAAAGCTTGGCCACCAACACGGCCATTTTTTCAGCACAGAACTTGCGGCCCCGCCTCCTCACCGGCATGGCACCAACAGCAGCGAGCTACGGCACCCGGGCTCGGAAAGCTGCAAAGGGCTTGAAAGGGCCAGTCGTGGAAGGTCTCTTCTGAACTTCGCGCCCTTGCCGTCCGAGCAGCTTCCTGATTCCGCCTACTTTCGCCTCGGGCCCCTCCGGGGAACGAGTGCGAGAAGTACCAAAGTTCACTTGTCGAAGCTTACATAACTGAAGGTGCCTATCATTGCTGTTTGTTCAGGCTTGTGGAAGGTCTGCTGCCTTCTTGCTGGCACGTGGCGATTATAAGCGGTTCAAGATCTAGAGTTTGTCAAGAACCGTCCTACTCTCCCTCCTCCTCCTACTACTACTACTGTGACTTGACACAGGCAGCGTCACACGCTGCATGTCGGGCGTGCGCAAGCCGACCAGCAAGACATGTATTATGCAAGCATGTCCATCCCTCCGAACAGCCAGTCATAGCAGATCATCGGGCGCCTTGGCACTGCATCCTCAAACGGAGCCTGCCGAGGAACTCGCTGATGCCCAAGCCGCGAGGGATGCTTTGATAAACGTGTGCACTTGCCACCGCCCGCCCTGGCTACAGCTAGCTGACCTCCGTCCTCGCTCTCTACCTCTACCTCTCTGTCACTGACAAGCAGCGTAAGTGCAGCCCAGCTGCAGATGCTTTCAGCTCGTTCGTGAGCTCCTGCGGAGTATGCTGTGCTTCCTAGGCATTACGAGCGACATGCATTACCGTGCCACACTTGCGTCTGCGGAGCTGAACCAGAAATCCTCCGCAAAGCGTTGCATGGTGGCTTGGCTACGACGAGCGAAACTCTCCTGACAAGGGCTGGCGACGCAGTGACTGAAAGCACATCTTTCCTTTTCGCTGGAACCGTACCTTTGCGAACCCATTAATCATAGATCCTGCTGTGCTGCAGCAGTCAGCAACGCTGCAATAAGCCGGCGGCGGCTCGCGGCATCACCTTGCGAGCTTGATTCCATTCTTGACAATCAGCTGCCGGTGACAACATGATGCTTTCGTCGTGGTCCAGGTGTTATGGCTGGGGGGGGTGCTTGAGCCAAGACGTAGCCCCAGCTTTAGAATGATCTGCCACTGCTTCACAGTGGTGTCGCTCGTCGTTTCCGCAGCCTATCACAACACCCTTGAAATCTCGCGGAGGGGCTCAAGAGGCAACTCCGGGCTTCCCGAGTCGGAGATGCTTCGGTGCGCTTGGAAAGTGCGTCCAAGTGTGATGGGCCCAGGTCTGAGTAACACTGAAGGCGCAGACTGCGGAACACCAATCTAGAAGGGACGGGTGTCACAAAAGCTGAAACAGAGCATGGGACAGCATGGGCAGGGTGCTGGCTCTCAAGCGAAGGTAAGCATCATTTTACCATCAGCCTATGCATGCAGAATTGATGGAGGTACTCACCCGTCGATGTTCTGCAAATTTGCGGAAGCCCTCCCTGCCTGGCCGCGCCTCTGCGCCTTCCTGCACCGTCAGTTTAGCATTGCAGCTAAAGCACGTTCATCACGAGAGTCTGAGGGATATACCGTTTCGACTTTGAAACAGGAACGGCTGCTCTACTTAGTGGAGCTTGCCGAGTGCGCTCTTTTTGAGTGGAGTGATGTAACTGCTTTCTTGTGCACTCTTGCACTCCCTCCGGCGCCTCCTGCGCTTTTAGCAGGATCTGCTCGATGTATCCTTATGCTCACTAGGAATCCGATGCTGTTGAGATGACACAACCCGAGAGTGAGAGAGTCGACTGCAGCGAAACAATTCGCAAATGCAGCGAAACAACTGACCTCTCGGCTATTCTCGGCTCGCCGCCTACCAGCTTACGATGGTGATGGCCCACGACATCGAAGGCTTCTGCAACGATGCCAACCTCTCGGAAGCTAAAGTCAAGACTCTAGCAGCTCTAGCATGCTCCTGGCACAGCCCCGAGCAAGGCCGGCCTGTTGCATGCTGAAAGAGTCCAGGTTCGACCTTTGAGGGCGGAAAGGACACTCGGAAAAGAGGCTCGGCTCACTCCGACTGCTTGCACTGGGCTTCGAGGCCCGACAGACTGCCCGAGTCGAACGAGCAGCTTAGGCTCTCGGAGGCGGAAGTGCCTTACTCGCATCGCGGCAGCGCCCACGCAAACGCAAACCCTGGTATCTGTGCTGGGTCTCCCACGCTGCCGAACTGGCTAGCAAAGCCTGGGCTTGAACTACCAACTACCATGTGGGCTGCCCCGCCTATCCATGCTTATCCCAACTGGTAACAAAGATATAAGCACGCAGCAATTTGAAACGGCTTCAGATAGGCCAGTCGAGCCTTTCCAGGGATTTGCTGTTACACAAAAATTGTTGGTGGTGTGTGGATCAAAGTTAGGATCAAACTGAACTGAGCAAACCTGTGTCACATGTTGAATAGTCTTGAGTGGCGGCAGAGAGGAACTTGTAATCTTTTGTCCGCTAACCCCTTGTCAAAAAAATGCATTGGTCGTCGTAGTCTCGATTGTAGTCAGCAAGACTTGGAACACCCCTGCCAGCTTCAGCAGCACTGCTGCGCTCGAGGAGGGCAGGGATGCTCGCCGGAAAGCTCCGACATTTGGGCTCTCGGACCGGTCAGGCAAGTTGTGTCACCAGACGCCAACTTTGATCTGGAAAGCCGTCCGATTGATCAGCATGCAGCATGCAGCCCATCGGATTTCAAACATCTCTCCTGTTCACGAGTTTCTGACCGTGTCCCCCATCTTGCTCATGCACACAGACGCCCAATAAAGCTGTGTGTCGTTCTACGCCTCCAAGTTGGCACCAAGCGCCCATTGCAGGCTGGCAGCGGTCAAAGCTTTGTGTCCGTAGCCTCACCACGCTCTGCCCTTCTATCTCATGTGGCGACTTGACGTTCTCCCCACTTTCTGCCCGTCGGCTCCGTTATATCCCTGAGGCCCAAAACCGCCTAAACGGGGTCACGGGTGCAGATGGAGTGGGCCGGGGTGGATCCCCAATAAAGAGCTCGGCAATGTCTTTCACAGCGTCACCACTCGGAGGCAGAGCTATCGAGACGTCTAGGCTTCCAATCTCTAAGCCAGCACACCAGTGAAAGCTGACGTCGCCGTCCATGATTCCATTCGTGCTTCTGCGTGCTTCTCTGTTCCACATTCTCCCGAGCACATCTGCGGAACATCGACAAAGTTGTAAGGCAGGCGTTCTCGTGTGCTCATGAAGCTCCAAAGCTTGATGCTCAGAACTGCGAAAGGCTTTGTGAGCACTTTCCCGGCAAACGAGCCTGTTCCCCACAATGCCGAATCGCGGCGTGTACAGTATTGTACAGTAAGTTACTGCGAAAATGTCATGCAGATGGGATCGTCCAACATGTTCAGCCCGGTCTTCTCGCATGCACCATCTGCACGACGTCTCGTAGAGCTAGTCCTCTTTTCGCAAGGGCATTCAACTTCCAAGCGTGCTTTCCGAGGTCTTTCGCGAAGCCATAACCCGGGAATCTCGCTTCAGAGCTCCTGATGTGGCACGCAGCACATAAGGCACGATATGGCGCACGGTAGCAATGTCTGTATGGTCGAAAACGTGTTGCAGCACCCCACCTGAGCCTTCGGCTTGTAGTACAGCAACAACTTCCACGCATCTTCCAGCTCGGATTCTTAGTCAGACAGGGCAGCCAGCGTCACCCGCAGTCAAGAGACTCCCAGCTTCTCATCAATCTTGTGATTTCTGCATACAAGCGGCTGTGTGCGGCTTGAAAGGCGTTTGGTGTCAGCCAGTGGTTAAGCGTGCAGCGTGTACCAGATGAGACCTGAAATCATGTCGATCGTCACGCCACAACTGGGAGCTTGTTCTGCAGCGGCCTTCTCAACTCCGTGGATGTTCTCGCCACCTGAAAGCAAAATGTTGTGGCTTGACAGACAACCCGATCTGCGAACCATGTTCCGCCTGCTCGAAATGCCACTGCTCTCCTTGCAGACTGCTTTTACGGGACATGGATTACCACCACATCGCGCAGTGCTTTAGAACAGAGGCGACAGGCCTGCCATCAAGACCTTTCAGCCAAGCTTCCCCGCTGCGGGCTGAACGTGCACGCGCAGCTCCGGCGGACTTCTGAAGGAAGGTGCGTAGAAGAAGTTGCCCCCCTGCCCAAGCGTGCACCATGCAAACAAAGGCTCCACGCTGACACGCAAAGACCATCGGTATGCTGCTCCGTGCCTGAAAGTCACCCGACTCGGGCCCGTGGAGGAAAAGCACCTCGATCACACCAGTCCCTCACTACGAAACCTTTCGGCTAGCCGGCAATCGCATGAAACCTGATGATGAGTAGTTGGGGGGAGGGGAATGCATTTGCAGGACATTAACTCTGGCAAATCAAGGCAACAGGCCGTGGCGCAGCAGCATGGCTTCGCCAATAGTAGAAGGGCTTCTTTCTCACGCAGAAGGCACCCTGACGTCGGAGTTCACGCAGCCAAAATGTCATGTAACTAGGTTAAGCAAGATGGCACGTCCAACTTGCCCGTCCTCCTCGAAGCAGTTGTCGCCATGCGCTGCATGAGCATCTGACTCCTTTGCCTCGCCGAGCTCGGGTCTGTGCTAGGGAAAGCAAACCCGTCGTCCTAACCCTCTGCGCACGAGCCAAAGCCAAGGAGGAAGCTGTGGGTGAACGTCGAAACGATCTCCAACCGGTGCCTGCAAGGTCCCACCTCGTATTCTCAGTCAATCTCTCAGAAAAGCCGACGATGGGAGGCAAGAGCGCTCTCGAAGTCGAGGCACTGTGCTTTGAAATACCTGACGGTTTACGAAAGTGGATCACAACTATCACACGACACTGCTCCAGAGATCTCCAAAGCAGCCAAGTAGCACCATCCTGGGCTCTTCCGGCTTTGCGCCGGCCTACAGTCGCTCTCTGAGATTCCCCCCCGCAGCTTCGCCAGACACCGAGTGCTGCACGGGGCCTCGAAGGTGAAACCTTCGCATTCGTCAGCAGTGCTGCAGGCGGCCTTTCGGTGATACAGGAGCCGCTTATAGTTGACGGGCACGCATGATGCACCCTTTGGCATCTCATTGGCTTCCAACAGACATGCTACGAGCTCGAAGAAGCTTCCCGGGACCTTCGCCTGCTCGAGAGTAAGCTCTTGCTTGAAGAGGTCTTTGGCATTGGCAGGGATGTAGCCTGAGAACCTAATACAACGAATCCGTGTGAACACTTGCTCTTGCAGATGTGCGACGTTAAAATGTTTCTGCTCAAAAACACCACACTGTCGGTGCGACACAACTACAGGAGGCCGGGACATAAGAGGACCCCATGGTTGGCGGTTGACGTCAGCATGACGAAGACTGTGTCGCACTAGGTGTAGTTACCTAATCGCTGTACCCTGCAACCCCCTGACGACGGGACACGGCATCAGTGGCTCACCAGCTTTCTCTGGCACAGAGCCAATCTTCCCGAAACTAGACGAACACTGGCGTTAAGGAGGCGAAGATCGAAGTCACCTACCTCAGCATGTGTCTGCTAATCTGCGCCTTGAAGATGGATGCACTGATTTCGCCGAGGCCGGAGGCCCGCGGTCTGTCTAGATCTGTTTCGAGAGGGGCATGTACTGCTGTCACTACCCTCCATTCCCCCTACCCCCCCCTCAGGGATCGCTTTCTTGTTTTCGAGTTGTTGGTTCAATTTTGAAGGGTTGGTAGCGGGTCCCCCAAAACTTGGGCTTGGGTCCCATCTCAAGTTGTGGCAACCCTAGGCGCTTAGACTTGCGTGCTACGAAAGCCCCGTGACTTTTTCCAAGTGTGCTGCCCAAGCGGCTCCTCAAACTCCTCCGGAGCCTTCTGAGCCCCCGGGGTCGCTTCGCGCGAAGTCTCCTCCTGCGAAAATCGGCAGACGAGGTGCACGAAGTCGAAGTAGAGACCTGTGCCGGCCAGGTCTCTTCCAATCAAGCGCCCATTTGCACCCCCTCTCCATCTCGAGGGGGCTGTGGTTACGAGTTATGAGAACTGTAAGGTGAGATGCGTGTACTTTGGGTAACTGCCAGGTGTGGATTGACGAATCTCTCCACTCAAGCCCCCTGACCTTAGAGCCGATTCTGTTCTCAAACACTTCTCAACAACTCGTCAAGTCACTACAATACAGTATATGCAGCAAGTACGGCTAATAACTAGGTCCACTAGGTAGCTAGTAGGTCCATGTCATCTCGGTTTTTCCAAAGGCCGGCAAAATTATGCTGGCTCCGGAGAACTCTGCAACAGCCAGTGCGGACCAACCCCCAACTTGCGCCTGATGCTGCAGCGAAAAGACTTTCGTCAACGTATGTCATGTTGGAGGCACTAGAGAGTAGGATATCAAGAGTTTTGAGCATCTGGTGTAGTACTTCTGAAGAATTTCGTGGCTATTGCTCGGCCTTCTTCATCCACAGGGGCCGAGGAGTTCAGCAATTTTTTGCCAAAGTGGAAAGCCACCTTGGGCTCTTCTGCAACGTTTCGGCTGAAACCCCTCGCGAGCTCTTGCCAACTTGACTGAGGGGCTCGCCTGCTGGCCCACAGAGTCAGCCGCTGTCAGGAAGATTTCCTCAGCCCAACGTAGCCCTTCGAAAGACTGGGTCCAAAGTTCCCGGCAGTCTTTGCTGCCGTGGCACGGCCCAGGAAAGAGCAAGAGCACTGCCTTGCTCAGCAGCCCATTCCTGACGCACCGACTTCGTTCAAGTTTGGATATTGACGAGACGAGAAGGAATAGCGCAGCACTAGGCCGAGCGGCCACAGCAGCCCTCGGAGTGAGGCCACCGACCTCTGCCACAAACTCGGCTCTTCGAAGACATTTCAAGACTCCCATCACTTCCGGACAACCCTCTCTGCTGGCCTGATCTCGGTGTCTCAGACCGGAAGCCTGGAAGCCGTCGCCAATACGAACAGCCGAGGGCGCTAGAGCGGCAAGGGCCCTGCAGGGATCACCAGCTCTTCCGCTTAGTGTTGGAAAGCAAGCTGCGGGTCTTCCTCGCAGTCGCTGCCGGAACGGCATGGTCTATAACCTGAGCAAGACTGCACTTCCTGTCATCTCAACCATGGCCACAGCAAGTGAAGCAGACTAACAGTACTTCGGCACGAGCAACAGCTCGACCACGCAGCTTGGACGAGCTGGTTGCCACATCCTGAACTTTCTGGTGATCCACCGTACACTTTAGACTCTTGCCGTATCTGAATTAGCTTGTAGCTTTCTAGCCCCAGAAGACTAGCAGAGTACAGCCTATGTGCTGTAAGCAGCTTTTCGGCAGCATGCTCCTGATCGATGTAGGAGATGGTGGAAAGTGGGATGGACGAGAGCTGCTTCAGAGAACTACAACCAGATGCTCAGGCGGCCCCTCATAGCTATCCTCGGGTTCGAGCACACTCTGTCGGGCAACGTCTGGCAGCTTGCAAGGGTGCTGTGACCTCAGGCTGCACGAGACCCACAACGTCCATCATCACGAGACTCTCTGGTTCGAGAGGCGGAGTCAAGGAATTTGTGCTGAGAGTGAGGCGCACAGAGAAGAACAGGGCAGCGATCTCCAGGACCTTGGACTCGTGTTGCTTCAGAGATGCGCTAGCCGCTAGTCATTAGTCAGTCGTGCTTCGGACATGAAGAACATCGGCTGCTCGCTCTGCACAACAGGTTCGGAGTATCCGACCGTGGCATTGCAAGACCAGGTCCAGCAGGCTTACACGGTGCATGAGCCTGGCACGTCTTGCCGAGTGAGAGCTTTCTGAGGCGATGGCCAGGTTTCTGGGGAGCGTGAAATCCTGGCTATCAGCTGAAGCCACGACTGAGCTGCAAGCAGCCAAGACTTAGTGCACATTGGAAATCAATGCAAGCGAAGCTCCTTGGCATCGAGGTGGATGCGTCAAAAGCGTGCACATTGCCGGCCGCATGGATCCTGACGGCCGTGCAGGCTTCAAAGCGTTGCCCTACTGCAGAATTGTAGAAATAAATCTGGGCCGGCCATCTGCCTCTATCCTCAGAGATGAGAGACGTTGCAGCTGCAAGTGCGACAAGCTCTCTTTATTTGACCCGACGCCAACAACCAACATAAACGACATATGCTGTAACTGTAAAAAACCGTTCTTTGGTGCTTGTGGACGGGGTGGACGATACTATGGGTCTGACATGGATTCACTCGTTGTGGATGCGGTTGTTAGAGGTACCAACTTGACACTGTGATACGTCTGCCTACCGCACAAATCAATCTTCGAAGATGTGGATGTTTACTTCAGGACATCATTATTTCGGATGTGAACAGTGGGGCGATGGTACAAGGCCGGCTTGCTCTAGTGACAACGAATGCAGCCGAATCTCCACCGCGTGACAATGAACTTCTCACCTTCCGTGACCGGGCAAGCACCGTGACGAACGAGCTCATCACCCTCGCCGGATGGGAGCAGATTGTACCAGAAAAGAGCAGCACCTCCAGGCTAAAAGGAGCAACATCGCCGAGCAATTCAGGGCATATTCTGATTCGGTTCCTGAGCTAAGACAAATGCCGCCGGCATCTCAGCAAGATACCGTGAAGGTTGCCAGCCGCCAGCTAGCGAAGCATAGGATCTAGGCCGCCTGATTTTGCCTGGGTTTTCGATTTAGATCTGCGGTGGTGGTTCCTTAGAAGCCGAACTCAGCGGCCTTCTTCGGGCTGCACGCTGAGGCCCTGCTGCACAAACGTCGTTGCGCCGCCACCTGCAGGCATGCTTGGCAAAAGACAGACCAAGGTTGAGGCACTTTACGGGATGACCGGCGCGGCCTTGCACTGCATTCAAGTAGATGAGGAAGGTAGCCAGTCTGGGCCCCTGGCCTCAGCTCATGAAGAGCCACTAAGCCTGATCCTATCCCAATCCTCCGGCCGTCCTGGCTTTGTCTAGGCCAGCCCTGGTTTCCTTTGTTCACCAAGTGCGAGTTGAACAGTTCCTCCAACATCTCAAGCTCTTGGAAAACGACTGTTACTGAAAAGTCTGTTTGGCTGGCAGGCGGATAGTATCGCAAGCCAGCTTTGACGGGGTGTGCTAACCAGAATAGAAGAAACATCAAGATTCTCGTCGCTGGCTCCGCGAAGTTGAAAAGGCCGGGGTCAGTCAAGCAGATTCGAGCTTCCTTCGCCAAGTCCGAGCCAACGGTCCACCGGCACATTCGGCACAGAGCTGACCCCAGCCCTCACGGCCCTCACACATCAATGGACACTGCAGTGGGAGCCCGGAGCCGGAAAAGTCGAAGATGAGCAGGTGCCAAATGGTTTTGGGGGCGTAGGGTGACTTCCGAAACCAGGACTGCAGTCTGCAGCGGTAGAGTCAAACACTTCCCAGAATGAATTGCTTCATCCACACTAGCAAGGCCATACGAGCAGATGAGGACGCCGAGACCGCTGTTCCAGACTGGATTCGAGCCACTGCGAGTAAAGAATTGCCCTTCGGAAGACGTCAAAAGGACGCAGTCAACGAGGTTACATCTGGGCATTGCGGCCCCTGGTGGACGCTGGTTGTGACCACGAGCTCCGGCCGCCAGGCCAAGTAAAGCGATTTCCACAAATCATATGCACCAGTATTCCACGCAAAACAACGTGTGGCTGTCGAGTGTGCAGTTGCATTCAGAATCAAAACACGCCACCAAAGACCTTTCAAGTGCACCATGTGCACCTCTCTGCTCAGTAAGCCGTCGGTAACAGACTCTGCTTGATTTATAAAACGGGCAGGCAACCCTTGGGCGCTCAGTGAAAACTGCTCACCAGTTGCAGACACGCTGTCAAAACTGATAGTACGTGGCCAGCATACCAAGCAATCATTGTAAAGTAAATTTGCTGAACCCACGAACCAGGCGATGGCGGCCTGATTTAGTGCTCGAAACTCTTCGAGAAACCAAGTCTCTTCGGCAAGCTGCTTCGTCTCTCCGTAGCGCATGAAGATGCGGGTGATCTTCAGGAGGTTTGAAAGAAAGAGCCTCACGCCTTCGGTGTACCGGAAAAGCTGGACTCCAGAATTAATTCGAACGAACCCATTCCTGGTCTTGGCCACTTCTTCGTTGCTACCCCAGGGGACTTCGTGGTCTTTGTCGTAGATCGTGAAAGCATATTCCCAGTCTGTAGTCTCTGGCTCCCGTGGCAGGAACCTCCCCAGATCCTGCAGAAACAGCATGTCTGAGTCAATGAAGACCATGTACTGGTAGCCCTCAGTCTGCGATGCCTCAAACTGACTAATGACCCATTGGAGAAAGTAGATGTTGTTGAACACGACTTTTTCGTCGTGCGCACCTGGATCGCAGGTGCACTCAGAGCCTTGGCAGCCGAAGCAGCCGGTTCGCCCATCAAGGCCTGGCGAGCCAATCTCCTCTCTCAAGTAGTCAATGTCTGCGCTGCGCCCGTACTCCTCCACGAATCGTCGATGTAACTCTTCAGAGCTGCTCTCTTCAAACTCCACTCCTGCCGGAGAGAACAGGTCTCTTGCATGCTGAAGCTGTTGAGCACCAACACCAACTGTCCATACTCGCATGGTGTGCCAGCCATGAAGTAGACCTCCATAAACCATGCGAAACGAAGCCAGGAACGGAGCACAAAATTTGTCGAAATACTCAGCCCCCATACACATACTCAAGAAAAGCGTCCTGCCCTGCGACGGGGGCCTGGCTCCATCAATCTGGCACACTGGCACGGCTCGTGGTTGGCCCACAGTCGTTCCCCCATCTCCGAAGTGGGCCACCGCACAGTCAATGGACTGGCAACCGACGCCAAAATGCAAGGAGCAGCCACTGGCTTTGCTGGCTCCGTCCATGTCAGGTGCCAGAGCACTCGGCCCCTCCAGTTCCTCCATAGCCACCATGCACTCTCCAGGGCTGGAGACCTTAAGCTTGCCCGAGCAAGTGGTGCCCAGTTCCAAGATCGCCTCGTATAGTGTCGGACGTCGCTCGCCTGGCCAAAAAACTGTGTCGAAGTAATCCCGAAGGTATCCATGCATGAGGTTCTCGCCATCAAGCGACTGCAGAGCGGAGATGCTCGCAGAGTCAAGCAAGTCACCCGGCATGACAGCCACAACATCTTTTGCCAGCAGCCAAGACAAGGTAGCAAATGCTGACATCATTGAAGCCCGGCCAGCGTAGGCCTCCGACTGCGTCCCAGCGCCGATGAACATCGGAGAGATGAGACGGCCGGGCTGCTCCGCGAAGCCGATCACCATGATCTGTCAAAGGTACAAATCTCAAGTTTATGACATAACTGAATCACTGAACCCATTCCTGTGTTATCAAAGCGGGCCTGGATGCCCTTGATGAGGCCTAGCTTCAAAGCAGCAAGATGGCTGTTGGCGAAGGTGTCAAAGGTCAGCTCGAGGGCTGCCAAAGGTGCCCGGAGCACCGGCGAAAGGGTCTGCAGGCTCTGGACCGACCAGTCATGAGCGCCGATGTGTCCAACCTTGCCACTGAGCTGTAAGTGCTCCAGAGCAGCCAGGCTGCTCTTCGCGCAAAGCTCCCAACCAAACTCACTCTGAACACACGGAGGCGCTGCGGTCCCTGCTTGGGTCCCTGCTTGCCCCTCACCGTTGTCCCCGGAGCTTACGAGGACCAGGTCAATCCTTGGTGCACCCAGACCCTGCAACATCCGATTCATGGCGAGGAAGGTTCCGTCGTAGCCCAGATCACCGGGAAGGATACGAGCAGACACGAAGAGCTCCGACCATGGAAGGGCTGCCTCTGCCACTGCAGCAGCGATTTTGGGAAGCTCCGCATAGTCACTGCTTCGGACCAAGATGTGGCGCCCATCGGACTGCAAGAAGCTAGGCAGGTTCGCGTACTTTCCTGAAAACCCCCTATCCGGCCCAATGGCAACCAAAGGCAGAGCCAAGCCCTCAGGTCCCGTCCTGTCTGAAAGGCGTAGGGCCGCGGCTTGCAACCAAGGCATCAGCCACCGCCACCGAACTACGCCAGCCATGAACTCTAGCTACTGCAAATCTTGCGGCTTGCACAAGGCACAAGACCTTGAACCTCGCAGTCTACCATGTTCCTTGTCTGGAGCCAAATCCTTCAAGCGGCAGCCAAGACGGTTGAGGGGACAACTCCGAGAATCGCAACCTGGCTGGAAGCTGAACCGCTCCACATCCGTGCAATCTTCATAAAGAAATAAGCGATGACAATGCCAGGGCTCACAGGGATATGGGGGACCAAGAAGGAACCAGCCCAGGTGCCGATTTCTCAGGACTCCACCGCTGTCCTCCGGGGTTCCAAAGGCGCCTGTGACTTCGACCTCCGTCCTGCGAGTTCTCAGACGGTCACGCCTGAACCGGTGACAGAGCGACACGCGCGGTCACGTGCGACATGGCAAACTTCGGGTCCCCCAGTCGAAGTGCGGCTCGTAACTGCCCTGGTTCTCCGCAGTGTAGTGGGCCACCTACCCAGAACATCATTGCACGGGGCAAACCGAAGCTTTCCCGCCTGAAATTGTTCCGCGGACTGCAGGGACAAGCCGGTCAAGTCTTCAATCCGTTTGGAGATGTTCCGCAAGACCGGATCCTCCACTGCTCTGGAAGCTTCCGGGATCTAAAGGCTTTTGATCCATGTCCCTTCCTCGTCTAACCACGCAGTCCGGCTTGTCCTATACTTTGCTCGAACCAGCTGGCCGGACTCGATCACCACGCCATCCTCTCAACAGAACCCGACGGTCCTAGTTTCAGATTTTGCCGTGCTGTTTTGCGCTACTGCTGCTGATGGTACTAGAAGTGGGGATGACGGCCGTCCGCCGAAAGTGAGTGCCCGCTATCTCCCTTCTTTTGGCAGCACCGCTCTCGGGGAATTCGGATCACCAACAGTCTTTCTTTTGCGTCTTGCGGGGTTATGTTCACTGTGTCGGCCAATGCAGTTCTCTGAATGTGTTTGCCCTGTGCGAGAGACCTTGCCAGCGCTAGCACTGTGGGCGATTTGGCCGCGCTGGCTCAGTTCCTCGGACCGCTCTGCAGGATCACTCGTGTCATGTGCGCAACGGTCTTGTTCTGTTTGGAAGGGATTGCTCAATGAGTACGAGGCCAGATGCACCCGATTGGGATGCTCTGCAGACTGACCGGACAGGTCTTTTGGTGCAATCTCGAATGAGGCCTGTTTGGAATTCGTGACAGAAGGCAGAAATACACATCAGCCGGACAGTTGCAAGACTACGCGGGAGACTGCCATTGGCCATTAGCTCTTTCGTCGTGGTTTCGTGCAGGTAGCAATTCGTTCAGAAATGCGCGGGCTCGCACAATTTGGCCGTGAGTTTGCATACGGCCCAGGACAGCTTCCGGGCTGAAACTATCTTCCTAACAACTCCAGAAGCCGCAGCATGAACCCCATTCCCTGAAGGTGCACTGCCACTCCTTCAACATAGGCCTGGCAAGGGCAATGATGTGTTGTGCTTCCTGCGCAGATAGAAAACCTGACGATTGAAGGAGGCTGCTCGAACGACTCAGTGACTCTGCGGACCTGGATAGGTGTGCCTGCAGCAAGTCAACATAATTATGAGCAGCGGTCCGGTTTAACAGCTTGTGTGGACATACAAGAGGACTCTCCGTGAGCTACTTGTACCCTTACTTATCAATCTTGTCCTAGTTTAGCTCAAGATTCCTCAATTCGATGCCAAGTCCGAGGTTCTCCAGCAAATTGCAGCTTTCACCCCTTGCCGCCTCCTACACGGAGTATTTGGGGACCAGGAAGATCCGCAAGAACTTCCACTTCCTGACAAACGAATGCTTCATGCTGAAGATAGTAGAGGTTGATCAGTTGGTAAAAAACTGATTATAACTGATTGCATCATCCCCCTTCTACACGCGAGTCCTGGAACAAATGTCCCACAAAGCTAGTACGCATGGCGAAACACCTGTAGGATTCCACAGGGACCAAGCGGAGGAGAATCCCATGCTGCCTGAAGCTCACGGTTCCCGATGGCTTCGGCCTTCGTCGAACGCACACACCCTCATAGCTGGATCGCAAGAGCGAAGTCAGCGAAGCGTGGCAGTCGCCTTGGCCTTTACATTGCTTGCCGCCGCACACATTTGCTGGTGGCCGCTCGCTTCTTGTCGCCAGTCCTCTTCGACAGAAATCTCACACAGAGAGGCTCCATTTCTATGCTCCGTAACTCGAACGCAAGGCAAAGCCACAGAAGGCCTGCAACTGGAGTTCTAGAATCGGTGCTGCTGTTCGTTACTGCAACTATCGCGGGGTCCTGAACCTGCGGCCTTGACCCAGGAGGAAGAACTCCCGACAAGATGCTCTCTGCCTCACCGCTGTCAAAGCTCGCGGATCTTGCAAGTGCTGCGAAGCTGACAACCGAAGGCTTGAACCTTAGTTAACAGCAACGAAGCTCGGCAGAACCCGCGTGAGTAAAATCGATCGCCTGCATGTTAGGCTCAAAACGTTCGATTTTGTTGAGGTGCAAAAGCACGCGACTGAGCATGAAGGTTCGCTTCATGCCAACCTTCCTTCCGGCTTTCGGACCGTGACACAGCTGCGCTGCTGGCCTGCTGCAAGCTGTAGCGCTGATACCCGTATGCACCAGTATCCTGTCAGACGGATGCACCCTTTCCCTTCCCGTGGTAGCTTCGGGTTCTGCTTTGAATTGCTTTGAAGACGACCGGCAATTGCCTCACTGTCAGCAGCCACCCACACGCCGACATGACAGCGGGTGCCTGCCTGTCGCAAGATTTGCGAGTTACGTGTCAGAAAACGGATATTTCGTCGGCTGCTGGGTCGAGCTTGAAAGCTCGATAAGATAAATCAGAAATGTGTAAACCTGAACTCCAACTCGACCCCCTCGTCCACCTTCCCCCTCGGTTCAGGGCAGGAAAACTGCAAAAAAAGCAAGTTTTACGTGAGTTGTCCAGAGTCGCTGCACCCCATCCCCAACGGCATAACTTCAACAAGGAATTGCCTCGCCAGCACAAGCGCACACACTCGCTGACAGAAGGAGACTGACTCGACTGCACAGTACGGAAGAAGATGGAGGAGTGCAAGGTCCAGGCTCTTCGCAAGGAATCAGGGAACACATGCAAGGGCACTGAGCATCAGGGTGCACCTCCAGGTGCTCCACACCGTGCAGATTGCTGCTGCTCGCAGCAATTGCTACCTGAAGGCTGAAGCCATCTTTGCAGCTGACGGAAACGGACCTGACGGGAACTGAGATTCGAGCCATACGACCTGCTGCAGGTCGCAGCCGAACTCGCTCTTGGCTGTGGCTGGCAAAGAAGAAGTCACCTGCGACCAACGCTCGGACGGAAGAAGAGGCTTCTCCATGAAACCATCACCATATGCGAACTGGCTCTAGGCAGCTGCGGAACGTCGAGCCTCCTCGAAAGTCTCCTCCTTCCGGTCCGTGCAGATAAAGATACGCCGCATGCGTTCGAGGGTCCCCAGTCTGACAGAGAATGCATCGGAGAAACCAGCACAGTGCACTGGGGATATGTCGGGGTAGTCTTGCAAGCTTTCAGCGCAGCATGTGTTGGCGCCATTGTTCAAGTGAGTGCACGCCTCGGGGGCGATGCAAGACTCGCTCAAGTCGTCTGTCGGCTCCTTGTACAGACACACTCCGTTTGAGTGCGGCCGCTGTGATCACTAAGTTCATCCGAAAAGAGCAAAACAAATCAAAGATGCAACTTAACTTGCAAATTCCCTCCTGGTATATGCAACCATCGTCGGAGTGCAGGGGATGGCTGTCGCCTGCCTCCACTTGACATCAGCTCGCAAAAGTCATCGAAAGCGCAGGATGCAAGCATGGGAGAAGCCTCCGCCGCTCGCTCCGTATCCTTCTGTCGGCATACTAGCTGTGCGAAGTGGAGAGTAGCTTGCCTGCAGGTAGAGCAGTTTCTCCGTCTAAAGCAGTCAGAGACAGGGTCAGAAGAGTGACTTCACAAACCTGCTGGCCTCAAACCGAAGAGATTGCCCAGCAGCGACCCTAGCATGCGCTGATTCAGAAGCTTGCCAAATGAAAGCAGCAGTACTCACGAGTGCTGCAAGGCTGCTCATAGTGCGCACCACCTCGTGCAAGTGACTCAGTAACAAGTTCGGACTGTTCCGCAACGCTGCCTCTGATGATGCGCATAGGCTGTACACATACATATATGCACAGATACATAATGATACATATATTCTTCACGGCACACAGCAAAGCACATGCACATCTTTTCTATGCGAGAGAGCACGAAACTCAGTCGTCACAATGAACACGAATGTGCACACTGGTAAGAATCGATGCCACATTTTGCAGGTCAAACGCAAAGCGATTCTGATCATCGAACGCGAGTCCCGATTGTAAGGAAGCCCGCAACACACAGGCCACGCGAAACGTCTGGATGACACTCCCATGTAAGCCCTGTAGACTCGAACTAGCCAAGAGCCAGCGCGAGTACAGCGACATTCCCTGCGTAGAAGAGGAAGGGTGGGCAGGGTGCGACGGAGATGCTGATGAGCCGGTCCCTGGGAGAAACAGCTTCATCCAAGGCTTCGAGATCGATGCATGTGGTGCTTCAAGAATAGAAACCAACCAGGCCATGCTATAGAAGGCAATCAACACAAATATACATGTGTACACATGTACATATACACATACGTATACACATATACACATATCTACACATGTACGTATATACATATATACAAATATGCATATCTACATATATACGTATAAGCATATATGCATATGATCATGCATACACACATACACCTATACACATATACACGTATGAGTATGAACATATATACATGTATACACATATACACATATACATATATACATATATACATATATACATATATACATATATACATATATACATATATACATATATACACATATGCATATACGTGCATATACACATATGCATAATCATATACGCTTATGCACATACATGCACACACAAGACAACCGCCTTTGCCACCATCGGGTAGCAGAACACGCAAAGTTCGACGGGGGGCATCTCCACTTGGCAGCTGTCCCGTGTGCTGCTTCCACGCTCAGAATGGACTTGTTAAGGTGTGCATGCAACCCGACCCTGGAGTACCGGGCAATGAATCTCGGTGTTTCTGACGCCCCGGCCACTACTGTCACGCAGACCGCAATTGCCCGTAGCGCTAACGAAGCACCTCCACGAAGCTGCGCGCAAAGGCCATTGCCTCTCGGCGGCCTTCTTGTGCCTGCTAAGATGTCTATGCTGCAAGGACGCAATCACATTGAAGACTTTCCCGAAGCTTTGGACACGGGGCTACCTGGCGTACAGCCCAGTCAGCGGCATCCAGGAGCTGAACTCCAGCCCAAACCTAGCAGGATCTTGACAAGAAGTGTCAATTCAATCACATCCCGGTCTCTGGCGCATTATAGGCCTCATCTGGCTTGAAGGGACGAGCTCGCCCGCCGTAACCATCCCCAGGAACAACCACCTGCATCTTTTTTGCACAGGCGTCATCTTATGCTACACTTCGCTGGACTGCCTTCTTTGCCTTGCCTCGGGTGCCAGTGCGAGCAGGTCTTTTAGCAATAGCGGGGACACTGCGTCCTGCACCAGAAGAAAGCCGTACAGTATGTGCCTCAGACTCCATTGCAGATCTTGTTCTCTCACAGCTTACAACAGTTCAGCCGCAGGAGGTTTGTAGTAGCGCTGATCAGGATCCTCAAAGAGGAAGCGCCCACGAAGCTCTTCGTGCACTGAGAAGTTGCCGCAGCCCCCGCAATGTAGCTCCATGAACCGTGGCCGCCTCTGCTGAAACGAAATGACACCGGCAACACAAGCGCACACTGCCGAATTATATACTTTGCCGAGGTGCTTGACACAGTCTCCATCTTCGAGCATCCTGTCGGTTCGGGATGATGATAGCGACAAGCAAAGCAAATTTCTGGGGTGTGCCCTTGACTTGCAGAAAGATTATGAAGCACGAATGGGAAGCACAAAATCCACAGCTGCAAATTCATCTACAGCTCCTGCCGCAGTCGATGTCGTCGGCATGCCCCCTGCGCTGCCAGAAAGAGACAATCAGCTGCACTTGAGAAGCTGGCGCCGGAAGCATTCATGGACAGATGCTCCACGGGGCTCTAAACGCATTGAAGCGGGCCACCTCAGACCCCGAAGCTCGGTGCAACTCTTCAAAAGATGCTGATTTCGATCAACCTTTCAGAACTCGTGGACCCGACAAACGGGCGGAATGCACTGGAACACACCAAACAACCAGACTGTACGAGTAGCAGCTCAAGGTACTTGTGACTAGTACCGTAGTAACCTTCGCAATTGCGAGCGACCAAATCCAACGAAGTGCTACGATTGATCAAGTTGCCCCGTGAATTTTGCTGACCCACCTGCTGAATTGACTGCGACCTACGCTTAGGCAATTGAGTGAACCTATGCCACTTATGCAATTTAAAGTCATGCCAACCGGAGATGTTTCAGCACCAGTACAGTCAGCTCGTGAATCGGGAGCAGATGCTCGCCGTCTGGGCCACCCGACTCACAGATCACCCATTGGCAGAGGGAAATCGTGAAAACCTTTGTGAAGAAGCACGCAACATCAACACGAGACAGCTTCGCACAAGTCGCTATCAGGAACTCTGAGTCTGGGGCGACAATTCCTGCTCTCATGCTCGGCCCACCTGGACCTGAGCGGTTGTCAGCTCGAACTCTTCCGGACTTCGCACTTCAAAGCATGAGCAAAAGGATGGGCTTAGGATTGCTCCTCTTTGCACAAGTTCTTCCACGGGCATTGGCCGGGCTTTTGTTCCACCCGCAAAAGCGAGTACCACCCCATGATTCTGGGGCAAGCTGGGCGACCTAGTATCTATAGTGATGTTGCTCGAAACATACCGGTGGTTCTTACATGTGCATATGTGCATATGCTGCGTAAGCATGGTTTGAAAGATCCACGTAGCCCTCGGTATACCTATCTACCTATCTACATCTAGTCGACAACGCATTTTCAATGCGCAGGAAGGTCTGCCATCGATCTACCCCACTGTCCAATCATTCATTCTGTTTCTGTGTGTGCATGTACGGTTGTGACTTTATTCAAACACATACACACTCGTACATACATTCTGACGGCCATCGGACGAGTTCGCGACCAAGCCGAGCAAGCAGCACAAAGGTTGCGCCACATCTGTCTCTAGGACTAACCCGCAGCCCCACCGCAGGATACGACGTGGGAACGGTTGAACATGACAGCTCACCAGACCAGCAAGCTACAGTCCAGCGAGCCATCACTCAAACTTGCCGTTAGTGGCACAAAAACAGGTGAGCTACGTCAAGGACTAACTTCGGTTCGGCAGCTCATTTGCACCCTAAGATCTCGGTCAATTGATCTACCGCTTCTTGAACTTCCTTCTCCAGCCCGCTTCTTGGGGCTTGGCCTCGCAATACATACATAAATACGTACATAGGTACATACATATACGTCCATGCATCGCAATCACACACACACACATTATCAGACATTCATACACAAGCTAACGTACGTATATACATGCATATGTAAAGATAGATACATAACTGATACATATATATACACACAGACGAGTACATCACACACACACACACTTCTACCTACTTACCTACCTACCTACCTACATACATACATAGATACATACAAACCTACATACAAACATACCTGCAGGTGCGCATGCATGCACGTATGCATGCATATGCACATACATACAGAACGAACATTTACCACTTTACGACCCCATGCCGAGCTTCGTGCTGGCAAGTCTCATCCGGCAGATGCTTCATGGAGCTCATGGTTCTAAGAACTGCTCAACTAGCTGATTGATGGTCTGCTGCTCACGTGAGGAACCCGGAACAATGCTTGGGATAATGTTGATACAACTTCCTGTGCCATGTTGTGAGAAATAAGTAAACTTACAGGCCTACTGCTATGACTGTGGTCGGTCGTCTGATGAATTTCGTGCATCCTTCACGCCTCCGGCATGCACACATGAAGTGCTCCTACATACTTTCAGAAGCCTTCACGTGCGCAGAGCGGCGCCTGAGCCTTATCCACCAGGACACGACGAAATTCGGATGGAGCGTCGGCGCGAGCGGCTAGCCTGGCCGTCACTTTGAAGCGAAGATTGCCGCAGGGTCCAAGACATGATTATGCGGAACGATGCGCAAAGCAATAGGGCGGGATGACAGGCTGCTGGACATATGAAGCAGTGCACCTGGAAAGCAAAAGAATCAGCCACGCGCCGCGAGCTGCAAAAACAGGCTGGCCTAACGGAAGGTCCGATGCCCGCCGCGAGAAGTTGTCCGCGACGCGCTCCAGCAGAAGGGTGTCCTTTCTAGCGCTCAACAGGTCATGCACGTCGGAACTCTAGTTGCAACTCTAGTACGACACATCGGCACGCGCTGATATGCCCAATTCATCTGTCAAAGGGCCGGCAAGCCCCCCTTGTCGTTGAGCTGCACTAGTGCACGTGCAAAGTGGGCGAGTTCCAGATGCCTCCCAGGCGGCAAGTGCCGATGTGAAGTTTGCCATGCAGCAGCCTAATTCTGAAGCAGAAGTGTTGCGACAACTGCCTCTAGACTTCTGGACTCATGGCCCGGACTCACGGCTGACAAGTGGCGCAACAACTCCTCTTACAAATCTGCAAGAAACAGCGACAATTTGGCACAACTTGCAACGAGTGTCAGGATCACGGCGCTAGTCACATTGATGTGGCCACTTATCAGGGACTACCCGATACATGGTGGGACGGACAACCATGTTCAAAACAGCTACAGAGTCCCGCCCTGCGCAGACGGCGCCTCATGTTGCCAAGCTTTTTCTCAGCCTTCATCTGTAACCTGGCATTATCGACACTTACTCGTCCGTCCGACAACTCTCCCGGCGTGCATGCTACAAACTGTCGTGACGACGAGAATATCCGGCAAGTGGCAGCATGATCATAGACTACAGAAACGGCAAGAAGAGAGAGCAACAGTGGAAGCAGTTAAGAGTCGCTCAGAATTCGTGGCGGTAGTGCTCGCGGCAGAATGCCACAGCCTCCAGACGTACCTGGCAAGCGAAGACCGTATTCAATCAGCTTAATTTTGTGATGAAGCGGGGGTGCAAAATGGTCACACCGAGCGTAAAAATGCGATGACACGGAAGAAACCCGGCGAACCGGCCCCACTCGAGAAAATGGTGAGAATGGAAATTTGAATTGTGTTCTGCAGAGACGTCCTGTGCCGCCCACGGAGCCTGGCACTATCACAAACCTAGTCATCCCTTTACTCTGTGCTTCAAGCAAGAAACCCTGGCCCTGGTCCTGTCCCACTGTTTGGTGAACAAGCACTGACACACACCACGCAACACAAACACACACAACTCACTGGCCAATCAATCATCCTACCTCCGTGCATCCCTCATCTTGCATGAGTGATGCAATCGATGTGGACATGTTCTCAGCTCACTGTTTTCCATGGCGTTCCCGAATTCTTGAACCTCCTTGTGAAAACACGGGCCAAAGTAAGCCTTGATTCATGAAGCCTGAAGGCCCTTTCCCGAAAGGCGTCAAAAGTGTTTGCAAACCCAGTGGAGAACCAGTATCAGAGAAGAGACTCTATGTCGATCCTAGCACTTCTGCGTTTGTGAGCACATCATGGCTCACGAAGCATGAAACCTCGAAGTTCGTCGAAAATCAAGAGCACAAAATGCTACACCCTTTTGATTCTCCACACTTTTGTGAGGCTCTAGAGCATGGCTCAGGCTTTGAATCTGCAGGCTTGCGATTAATATACTGGTGAAGCAGCGGCACCGGCTGTTCAAAGAAAAAGAAACAACCTGTAGTCAGTTGCACAAATATTGGAGTGCACCTGTGGTAGATGTTGGACGGAGAACTCTGCAAGAAAGCGCAGAGCGAGGACCACATCCTCAAACAGATTTCAACACGCTTGGCAGATTCAATTGTGGAAAGAACGTGCACGGCGACATGTTTCGGACCCAGCTACAAAGTGCGAACACCGAGCCACTCCTTGTAAATATATAGTTGCTTAGGATAGCCCAGCTGCGAAGCTACAACTCGAAGTGACTCAGTCAGTAACGATGGGTCTCCAGTGCTGACGCCGCAAGCGCCACCGAAGCTCGGCGAGCACAGGCCTGGCCGCCAAGGTCAAAAATCGGAGTCCATCGTAAAACAACATTGTCACTGAGGAAAAGCTTTCTGAAAGAAATGATGCAAAAGCATGCCCCTGAATTCGATTCGGGCACTTGTCTCATCATGTTTCAACTACAACTTTCTTGAACATGCCGCTGGATGCCTCAGGGCTCCAACCCAGGGGCAGTAATTCAGGCGGCGCAGGGATTGCAGACACAGAGAGTAGTCCCTGCCCAGCCAAAGTCACAAAATGCAAAGGCCAAAGTATGCGAAAGCGTCGCAGCTCTTCCAAGGCAGAAGCCTGACGGTACCCCGCCGTAGCTCTGCACCGCAGCGGAGGGCCTTGCATGCTTCGAAACTGACTTCGAAGCTTTCATGTCATGACACCGGTAGAGGTTGGGATTTCGAACCATTTCGCTTGACTCGGCGCTGACCTCGGTCAGACCGCACAGCAAGTAGTCGTCTCGCCATGACACCTACAAGAAGCACGGCCGCGATCGAAACTCGTTTTGCACGGTTCCGAATGTCCTTGCTGACGGCCATGCCTGCGCACAGCTGTCCAGAATTCCGGCCACATGGCTGACCTGGCAGCGCACCACCCAGGTACAGTGCACGAACAACTGCGTACGCCTGTGTGATATGTACGACTCAGACTTCAGGGCGGCGGGCCGTGGATTGCACAACATGCAAAGATGAGAATAGAAGCACACAGACACGGGCACACACACACACACATAGCTCTGTCGGCTTCTGCAACTTTCGGCCTGCATGCCTCGTGTACCGGCTACCACTCGGACAGAGAGGCAAGAGTTCGGACGGGACCCGTCGAGTTCTGAATGGAAAGAGCCCTTCTTTCACCTTGAAGTGGCGCAGGGAATAAACCGCTGTTCGGCTCAGCGCCTCCCAGGTCCTCTCGGCCGAGCTCTGCAGAGGAGGCAACAGGCAGAGCATCGCTCAGAAACGGCTCCGACAAGGCTCTGTCCTTTTGTCACGGGTCCCGGACTTGGCGGCCTGCCGGAACTGCAAAGGCCTCACAGAACTTGGGAGAATGCTGAACGGGAAGAATGATTGGAGAACTGCGCAGAATTTAAGACCATTTTATTTGGGAAATTTGATCGTAAGTGTAACTTATATATTTGCGCAAGAATCACAATGCCGCGGCAGACTAAGGCACCCGCACATCTTCAGGGCTTGCCAGCTTTGTGAACAAGTCCAAGCTCTCTTGTGACAGATGAGGTTTGGCCTGTCTGAAGCAGCATGCTAAGCACTTCAGCTGAAGCACAAACCCGTCTATACTGGAGATATGCATATGGTGGCCTGTGGCTTCGAGATGCGTTCAAAGATCGATGCCGGCTCATCCAACACTGCAGTCGAGGTGGAGGAGGCCACCTCTTGCGCAGGCGTGGATGGCGTTGAGAGGTACCTTCCACCAAGTCGGCCCGGATCTCTCGCATTAAAGGCAGGTTTTTCCTTATCTCCCTTTCTCGGCCTGCCCCTCGGCACAGGCGGCTCGCCGGCGCACAGCCGGGCACCAAGCCGCGCACCAGGGCGAAGCATTGGATGTTCACATCGTGAAAATGCCAAACTTAACAAATACACTTCAAATCTAAAGTCCGGTGCTGTGAAGAAGAAGAAGTGAAGTGTCCACTCGACTGATACTCATGAGCTTCTCATGTCCATCAAGGACTCGGGCCATCACATAGGGCAGTAGCAACAAATACCTCCTGAAGCCACCGAGGCGTGACGAAGGTATGAACTCCGCGCCTCATCATTGCAATTTTGTGCCCTCGGGAAAGCATAGACATTGTGAGCAGGCGGTGCCGGAAGTTGGAGACCTCTTGCAAGCTCTTGGCCTTGGCGGTGTAAGGGTTTAACCACCTGCCCATTGCACTGCAGATACAGTCGGGCATAACGATGTATGAGCCACTGCCTCACACAACGAAAGGAGTCATACCCTACTTGAAGTCGCTGGCATCCACCAGTCAATGAAAGTCAGGACATCACAGATACTGTAACGGACAAATGCCAACCCACTCGGACAAGGAGAGGTTTGGCCACAGGGAACAATTCATGGCATTTCGAGAATGTTTTTTTCAAGGGCAGGGTGTCCATCCAGGCAGGACGGGCAGTGGATAACCGCCATGCGCTTTCTTAACATAGACATACATCACATATGATACAAGCACCATGGCACTTGAGGTACAGAGACCAGTCACCAACAAGAAAGCCAGAACACCTGAAACCGGACAGGACTGTTGACTCGTGGTACACATGCTAGAAACAAAGGCAAATCGCAGCTGTTTCTCTCGATGCGGAAACCCTGAGCACGGGGTCTACCCCAACTGTCAGCCAGCTTAGCCCGCCGTTCCAGTTCGGAAATCGCGCAGGCATCGCATGTCTCCTTGCTCTGAAGGTTAGTCGGTTCGGACAGCCCCGCTGACGGTGGGGTCCAGCTCAGCACGCATGCTGCTTGTTCGCCTGAGTACAACCACCAAACCCGGCGACATTCAGTGAGAGAATCAAGCTGGGTGTGATAAGTCCGAATACATGGCCGAATGCGGACATACCGTAGCATCACGACGACCCTACTTCGTCGTTCTGAGCTGAAGGCATATGGCAGCAGCGGCGACTTCCCT